AAGGAATCACCATGAAAATTTCAAGGCATTTTTAGTACTAATGAAATCAAAGAAACATAGCACATCTCCAGTACTCTTCAGGTTGATTGACTCTGTGTTGCTGCCGGCCATTCATTTTTACATTCCTGAAAAACTATTCAATGAGCTCTAACCAGCGATTGCTATCAGTTCACTGACTCAATTTGTTTTTATGAGTGTTTTTTTTTTGCAAGAAGTGAACTTTTCTTCATATAGTAAATATATATATATTTGAAAAATTTAAAGAACCTACCCAAATTTATAAATTTTAAATTTATAAATATATAAATAAATATATTCTTCATATAATGAATTCAAATAATAAAGTACCCTGCAGAAATGGATTCACTCTTCAGGTTGTTGAGCATATATTTGTTGTTGTTAGGTTTTGGTCCAAATGTGATTTCTTCAATGAGGAGACTTGTCAGTGTAGAAACTTCTATTGATATAGATAGGAACTCTTAGAGTGTTACCTGGGACTACTCAGAAATTAAGGGACTTGCCTATATTCACACAAGTATTTGTTGGAGGCACACTTTGACACTAGTAGGCTGCTCTTCTACTCACTATGTTATTAAGTATAACACACAAATACAACAAAGGTTTACTAAGTTAATACTATACATAGAATACTGTGCTAGGTACTAGAGAGGAGACATAGTTTAGATGAGAAGTGGAATACATTGCAATAGGTTACAATCTAGTAGGGGTAGCTAGGTGGCCTGGAGTCAGAAAGACCCCCATCCTGAGTTCAAATCTGACCTCAGACACTTACCAACTGTATCCCCCTGGGCAAGTCATTTCACCCTGTTTACCTCAGTTTCCTCATCTGTAGAATGGCCTAGAGAAGGAAATGGCAAACCATTCCAGTATCTTTGCCATGAACACCCCAAATGGAGTCACAAAGAGTTGAACACAACTCAGTAACCACAACAATCTAGTAGAGTGATAAATCCATTAACAGTTCCCATTAATAGTTTGGGGTGTGTCCAAATAGCAGATTTAATTAACTTTGTGTTTTCTCTAAAATAACTCTAGTTTTCTCTAAAATAACTCTAGTTTCTCCCCTCCCTCCAGACTAGAAGATAACTGTTACTTTATTCCTTTATTTTTGTGTCTAATTGACAAAAAGAGTCCAAAACCTTTACCTTTTAGGTGACTAATGTTCTTTATTGCGATTGTGAGACAACAAATCCTTGGAGCAAAAGTTCTTTCGGCCTGAATTTGGCATAATCAAAAGTTCTTGTTGTGTGAACATCGGCACAATAATGGCACTCTATTATATGTAGATATGTGCCAAGCACTGGTATGTTGGAGGCCATTTGATTCAGTGCTTGGTGATTTAAGGTAGATGGTTGCCGTGTGAAAGAGGAAAGGATTCATCTGTCTGCATGCTGGGTTCTTTCTCACACTGTTGATGGTTTTCCTGTTGGTTTATTTGTTTAAAATTTTATCCTCACTTTTTCTGTTTAAATCTGAGAAAGGAGGGTTGAGCAATTGAGAATAAATCCTCATCTTTTTTGTGCATTTATAGCAAAAATTTCCCCCGACATTTAGATGAATTGAGCTAGTCCTCCTAGCTAAATTTCTCTGGAAATCTTAGAACTTTTGTACCAATACATATTACAAAGTCGGCACATTGGTGTGTTAAATTTTAGTGGCTTAGACAAGGTAATATGGAATTATTCTTTTTTTGTGAGCTGTCAGAGGGTATTACATTTTCAAGCTGATTCATCAGTGAGTTACTATCTTTCTCTAGAATATAGATCATTCTAGATCAAAGACTATAGATCATAGCTACTTTTATATGGTTTTGAAAATCTTTATGATTTGTATGTTTTTTAAAGTGGAGATTTGTTACCATAGCAGATTCATCATATTGTGCTTTTTTTTAAAGATTAGATTTATGATTTCATCAGTACAGGAAGCATCAGCATCCAGTGAGGTGCTTCCTCTATCAGCACAGATCCAAACTTGCAACCTGTTCTGTACTTTATTGACTTATAGCATTGCCCAGAGATTTGAAAGGTTAAGTGACACACCTTAGATCACACAGAGTGTGTGCCAGATTAGGAATCTTCCTGATCAGTAAGAGGATCAGAAGGTCTTCCTGAGTCAATTCTCTGTCCACTATGTCACCTGCCTCTCATGTCCAGCATATATCATATGGGAGGTAATATACTGTCCCTTTAAGCTGCTGCTCTGTTTGTATGGAGCAGTTTAGTGATGAAAAGGACAGAAAAGGGTTTTTTTCATATGAAAGAAAGAGTTCTAGAGACTGTCAAAAGATGCAAAATATATTTGCCATTATGATGAACTTTCTGATACCCAAAATGAGTTAGAAAAGACCAACAATGTTTTAATAAAAACTATAAAATATCTATATAAAGAAACAAATTTCATATGAGATTTGAGCAGTTTTGGAAAGAAAATAAATTGCAGAGTAAATATAAAGGCTTAAATCACCTTGTGAATGATGTAGAATGATGCTTCATGTGTATGTGAATAGTTTGATGTTTTAAAGAGGCAGAGAAAATTTACTTATTAAAAACGGAAAGGTAAGAGTAAGAAGAAACTGTTTCAAGAACACAAAACAAGATTTTGGACCATATGAGGACTTATAGCTTCAAGAGATCATGATACCTCAGTTTACATATGTATTACTCAGTACTATATTACATATATCATGTAGTTATGACTAAAGAGGGTAAAATTCCTGAATATTTGGAGAAGTGAAGTATTTTTGTAAAAGGACCATCAATTTCATAGGGGAAATTTGGGGAGTTGTTAACTTTTTATGGTAAAAGTTAGTAAGAGTCAGAAGATGAATCTGAGAATAAGACTCCTATGAGAAGAATTGAAAGTGGAGGGAGGTAAGAGAGGTGGGGCTGAAAAACTGCTTAGTTGGAGCTGATAGCTAGAAGCAATGAGCTGACAGAAAGCTTGAGTGGTAGGAAAAAAAAATTGATTTCATTTACCAAAAGCCTCAGTGACAGCTATTGTCCTTTAGTGCCATCTACAGTTGGGTAAAGGTGAAGCTTCTCATAAGTGCCTATTGCTCTCTGCTGCCACCTCTGGTTCAAGAAGGAAAAGCAGAAGGGAAGACGGGCTTTGCAGTTAGTTTGCATCCTAGTGAGCTGGCTGGGTTTGTTTGCCTTACAATCAGAGGCTTCTAAAGTAGGCGATACTGCCCTCTGGGGGGCGCTGGAATGATCCCTGGGGGTGGTAGTAGCCTCAGGTGGAATTGGGGGGGCATGGAAAGGGGGTGGTGGAGGCATAAGGAAAGAAGAGAAGAAAATTTTGAAAAACCATTATGTTTCATCTGTTGTGTAACAGAATTAAAGTCATAGCAATTACATTTTCCAAACAAACATACAAAATGCAAATTATAACTGATCAGTGGTCAAGTCAGCTGACAAGTCTTAACAAACAAATGTTGGCAGGCGAGCATGTCATGCATTATTGGGAAGTCCAGCATTCATTGGCAGGAATATGTGCATGTAACAACTTGTTTACAATATGAAATTATGGTTACATGATGCAATATTGTATCATTAAAATTTCAATGCAGGAAAACACCACAAATTTACAATAAATTATTAAATTTAAGATGCTTCATTTAAAAAATATTTTATACATTTTTTTTGAAATGACACAAATTTTAAAAAATCCATTGAAGGGTTAAAGAAAGTAGTTTTCCAGGGGGATGCTGAGAATTTTTTTTTAAACGGGTGGTAGGCCAAATAAGTTTGGGAACTTCTACATAAGGATCAATCTGAGCCATGTGGCTATGACCTCTGGTCTGATTAGACAGTGTAGGAGATAGATGAGTGAATAATTGGATGGGTTTGTATAGGTCAGAAGTAGCCAGTCTGATGAGCTTGTGCAGTGTTCTGAGTGGGAGAGTGTGACTCTAGTTTATAGGTAGATTGTGATATATTTTATATTTATGCATTTACTTTAATATACAAGGATCTATACTATTATCACTATTTATTTTGCCCCATTGCTAAGTAAATAGTAATGTTTAAGATGTGTCACGATGTGAGTAACTGCTTCTATAAATACAACACATTTTGCTAGTACTTTACATTGTGAGTAGCCACTCAGTTGTGTGAATAGAAATGCATTGGTGAGAGCTCAAGAGCTGGAGTGTTGAGTAGGGGGAGTCTTTTTCTCGTCAACAGGGTTACCCCGGGGCACTAAGAGAGTGGAAATATAACTTCATAGGTGGTCTGTCTTTGTGAATCTAGACCTGCCAAGGCGAGGGCAGGTTGGCATGAACAAACCAATCTACAGAGTGAATAGGTGTTGACACACCCAGGTGAGAAGTGTTGAAGCCCCTAGAGAATGTGGGTGGCTATATCACACCCCCTATCTATACCGGCTGTCATTAAACATATATACTCAACATCTCTCCAATGATTTGGGGCAAAATGGAAACTTTTTAGTGTAATTAATAGCAGGGCTATAATCACAGTACTATTTGTGGGCCATAGACCCATTTATGGATGCTTAGGTCTCAACTGCAAGTTACTCTTTACCTAATTCCTACATTTTTATGTACCTGATAATGATTTCTATGGTTTTATTATTGCAAAATTACTGCAGATGGTCATAGATCCAAATGTAGCGTAATATAATGATAAGATCTTTGAGTCAATCCAGCAAGAAAAAACTATCCTCGTAAGTCAACAAAAGAAGATTTGGCTTGATCCACTTTACTTATTAAGCCAGACACTACCCTCCAACTCATTTGTCTGTTTGCTTTTTGTTGTATGTCTTCAGGGAAAATCATGTAGTTCTAGGTTTAATGTTACTTTGGCAAACTAACAAGTTAAGTTAATACTTTAACTCGCATTTTTTTGGTATGCTGTCAAATGTCCTGTGTGTAAAAGTGTCAGCTTTGCTTTACCTTTTCAATAAAAAGAAAATTTATATACCTTAATATGTTTTCTAAAAGATTTTGTTTTCCTTTACAGTGGCTCCACCAACAAGATTAAGATATACCATATTATCTCATGACAGTATCCAGATTGCATGGAAAGCTCCCAAAGGGAAATTTAGTGGATACAAACTTCTTGTAACTCCAAATTCAGGTAAAAAAAAAATCCCTCAAATTTAAATTTTTATAGTGAATAAGAAAATGATTTCATGTAGGGAATTGAAAATATTACTTAAATTAGTCTTTAAGTATTTTTATCCCCAAAGCTTGAAAACTTTTTCTCCAGTGAGAGCAGTAGTTTCCCCTAGAGTAGAGTAGAGAGTCTTTTATGACCCATTATGGTTGACAATGTTTTGATAATTCTCCTTGGGCCAGATTTCCAGGCTAGTGAGAATTCTCTTGGTCAGCAGAGTGTGTGACAGGATGAATTTTTGGCCCACTGAAATGGGAAACACACAATTTAGTTACTACACTCATAGACCACCTGCATGGCTAGCCTCATAGAAAGCAGTGGGCCACCTGAACCTTCTGGGAGATTGGCTGCCAACCCAAGGCTGGTGTGGGGTGGGTGGTATCAAGGTGGGAGGTGAGATGGAAGGACTTTCTTTCTTCTAAGAATTAGGTGTTATATATAGATTTTACTTCAAGTAGAAAAACCTGTTACTAAATAATTTTTTTCTGACAAAAACTGAGGTTGAGTAAGAGCTCAAATTTTACATTTTCTATCCCTGTACCCAAATGAAATTTTAATAATAGTAGTAGCTATTTACTTATTGAACTGATATATATATATATATATATATATATATATATTTTAGATTTAGTAAGGAGTACCTCATAAAGAATTCTAATACAAACAATGTTGTATAAAATGATAACCTGTATATTGGAAAGAAGGTGTATGTGTGTGTTTGTGTATGTGCATGTGTATCTGTGTGCATATGTATATGCATTGGTATATGTGTCTCTATGTGTGTTTATGTATATGGGTATGTATGTGTGTGGATGGGCACATACCCATACATCCTTGGTAGGGATGGAGAAGAGAGAGTAACAAGGTAAAAAGGATTGAAGTGATATCTATGTGGTGTCACTACATTATCTGAGAATAGTCTTACTATAAGTAAGTGTTTTTCCCAAATGTGCATCTCCACTTTGCTTTCCCCCCACATAATTCTGTTTTGACAAGAGGTGGTAGGAAGAGACGTAACTTGGCTTCTCTCTTCAGCAGTTAATCCTTAATACTGAGATATTTCCAATTATGCCACTTGTTGAATGCTGTCAGGGCATCACATGCTTGGTTGGACATAGAGAGAGAGAGAGACACTTTTCTTACTTAGTGGATTTAAATTGTGATAGAACAAACATATAGGGCATGTGGCCAATTGCGCTGATCTATCTTTCCTTTCCAACTCAGTCACTTAAAAGAAAGACAGTAGTTTGGCAGAAATTAGGCTTAGATTAGTGCCTTACACAATATATCACAATCAACTCAAAATTTATATACAACTTAAATCTTAAAGGTTACACCTTAAAAAAATAGAGAGGGGCAGCAAGGTGGTGCAATGGATAGAGCACTGACCCTAGAGTCAGGAGGATCTGAGTTCAAATTTGGCCTCAGACACATAACACTAATTAACTTATTAGCTGTGTGACTCTGAGCAAGTTGCTTAACCTTAATTGCCTAAAAAAAAAAATAGAGAATCAGATCAGATACCTTTCACACATGTGACTGGAGGAGAGTTTTTGACCAAACAAGGGACAGAGGTAATCACAAAGGATAATATTTTTTATCTTCTACAATACTTTTTGTTTTTCAATAGAAAAAATTTTTGTCTTTCATGATTTTTATTCTTCATGATTGTGTGAAATTTAAAAAGCTTTTACCTGAAAAAATAAATGTGACTATTATAAGAAAGGAAGCTATTGATTGGGGGAAAATTGCCTGAGGTATCTGAGATAAAGGTCTCATATCTGAGATATCTAGAGAACAAATATAGAAAATGTAGAGCCAATGCCCACTGGATTTATACAAACAATTCTCAAAAGAATCGCAAACTATTAAGAACTATGTGAAACATTACTTCAAATTTCCAATATTTCAAATTTTCACACTAAAACAACTCTGAAATTTTATCCTGTATCAAGTAGATTAGCAAAGGTGACAAAAGATAGGTCAATATATTCAATGTTGGAGAGACTGTCATTGTAACCATGAATTGTACAGGCTGAACTGTAACCATTCTGGAAATCAAAATATCAATGACAAAAATATCAATTCCCTTTGATCTAGAAATGCCACTGCTAGTGCCAAAGAGATCAAAAGCAGAAAGAAAGGCCCCATATGCAACAAAATATTCAAATCAGCACTTTTTGTAGTAGAGAAAAACTCAAAGCAAAGTAGATAGAAGCCTATCAATTGGGAAATGATTAAACACATTGTAATGGGTGAATTTACTAGAATATTACTATACAGTTTAGAAATGATAAGTATACAGTTTTCAGAAAAGTATGGGAAGACATTTGAACAGATGAAAAATGAAGTAAGCACAACTGGGAAAATAATATACACAATGACTATGAGAATGTAAACAGAGAGAACAACAACAAAGAGGAAACTGAAGCATCATGAAATCGTAATGACCAAGTTTGTACTTGAAGAAGAGACAAGAAAGTGCGCTTCCTTCCTTTTTGGAGGTGGAGGTGGATGTGGAACGTTCTATTTACTATCAGATTCAGTTGATGTGTTGGTTAATTTTCACTGAAATGCTTTTAAGTTTTTATTATTATTATTGTAGTTTTTATTATTTTTAGTAATTTTTTAAAACAAAGGATGACTTTTTAGGTAGGGATGTGGGGACTGACATATTTAGAAATGAAGGTGACATAAAATTAAACGTTTAAAGAGAAGTAATGTGTCATAGTGAATAGTAGGAAGATCTCTGACACTAGCCATATGAACACTTAATCTCTTTCAACCTTAGGCATCTACAAGACTATAGGTTATAGACAGGTGATTTATAAGCACCAGTGGAGATGATGCTTCCTATGAAAAAACAATAGATTAGAGAAGACTGAGATTTAATTGGAATTTCCCAGAAAATTTTTAAATTGCCAGAGTTTTTAGGAAAGCCATACCTGTCAGACTAGTTTGATAGTGTTATAATGGTCTTAAAAAAAGATACATATTCACTTTTTTCCCCCAAAAGACTGAGTCTTTTTATCTTGCCTAGGTAGAAGCCACTCACTGTTAGCCTTAGTCCACTGTCGGTCAGTACAGAAGCATTGACCTGTTCTGTTTCCCACCTGGGTCAATTTCCCTCCACCTTTGGTAACCATATTGGTACTAAACTTCTTGAAGATGCATGCACAATCAGCTTTAGCCCTGCTGTACCTCAGAATTCCTGAACTCAAGAGGATCCAGCAGCCTGCCTGCCCTGTAACAGGGGTCATGGGCCAGAAACTGCAGCGCTTGGCTGCATATTCACTTTTAAGCAGCCAGACAACAGAGAGTATCTCACCTGCTGTTTTTCAAGGTCTCAAGCCAGGGGTAGGATTGAAAGTGTTTAAATTGTTCCATGAATCAAGATGTTTTGGCTTACTTCATAGGTACTAAAAAAGAATGACAGCATGGAATATTACATTTTTTTAGTCTAGACTCCTCTTCAGTTTTAAGAATAAAAAAAATTCTTTCCATTCAGAATTAAATTGCTGGTAGAGTGTTTGCCCTCTTCCCTTCTTATAAGGAAATGTGTTTCTATAGTGTGTTGAGCTGCCAGTGCGCAGGGATGGAAGATTTTGTACAAAAACAACTTTTTACAGGCCTACTTTTATCCTCATCGTCTAGATTGTTGTGGCAATTCTACTCTTTAATCCATTTGTCAAATGGGGTTAATAATGTTGGCGCTACCTATCTCACACTACTCTGAGGATCAAATGTCATAGTGACAACTGACCTTGATAGAACTCTCTAAGTGATTTCCTCACAATAGCTCTTTGGATTTAACAATGGAAGCATTATGCCCATTTTACTGATGATGAAGTGAGCTCAGAGAATTTGCCCATTTTTATAGTAGCTAGTAGTAATCATAAATTCCATTTTTATGTAGTACTTTGTTTTATAAAGAGCCTTCTTCGTAATAGCCCTTGTGGATAATACTTTTGACAAATGAGGAAACAGGCTCAAAGTTTGCCCATGGTCATATAGCTAGTAAATGTCAGAGCTTGGATTTGAACTCAGATCTCCTGACTCCAAATTCTTTGCTTTTTTCTACAGCATGGCCTCTCAGCCATGATCTTGCATCAGGTCCATCATAAACATAAAGAAAAATATAAATATGTGTTATTAATATTACAAGAATAGGTCAAATTAGGCTTCATGTCAAGAATTATAGGGTCAGATTAAATGGGATGTGTGAGTAATTACTCAGATGTTTATCATTTAAAATCTTGAGTGTCCATGTGTTATCTAATAAAATTCTTTTAATATCCACTCTTCAACAGTACATATCTTTCTGTTTTATTCTAGGTGGAAAAACCAACCAGTTGACTCTTCAGAATAGTGCAAATAAAGCCATCATTCAAGGTCTTTTGCCAGACCAGAACTATGCAGTACAACTTATTGCATTTGATAAAGACAAAGAAAGTAAACCTGCCCAAGGCCAATTCAGAAGTATGTATTTATCCATCATTGAGCAATGAATTTGAATTTTGCCTTAAATGCTGCCTAGGTGTGCAACCTGGAATTCCTTTTTTCATTTGTTCATTGTCATTTGGTTGAAAAATGCTTAATCTAATTAATTAATTCTTAATAAATTAATTAAATTAAAGGTTTGCTACATGTAAGTGCCCTGTGCTAGGTGCTGGCATATCTAAGATATTATCCTCATCTTCAAGGAACTCACAACTAAGTAAATTCAGATTGATCCTGCTGTGTTTTTTTCTGCATTTCTTGAGAATGTTGTTCATTGTGCACAGAAACAAGAAAAAGGGGTAGGAAAACCTATGCCATTCTACTCAGTTGCTAAAGTAGAGGGCTTTTAATTTGAAATGAAAGGTTTTCAGCCTCTCTCAGATGGTTTGGGACCTGTGGATGCTATAATTATGTTTTTGTCATTCATTACTCTGATTTCTCTTCTTTTGAGTAAGAAAGGACAGATTTTCCTTTATAATGGCTCCTTTTTTGATTTAATGGCTATCAAATGGCCAGCGACTGATTTTTCAGCCTCTTGGCCCTTAGCTATACTGCTTCTCAGATGGAGACCATACTCAAAGCCTTTCAGCATATCAGGTTTGCCGGGACCCTGCATTCTGCTGGCACAGCCTTTAAGAGCTTGGAGGCGCCATGATGAGGCAGCCTTCAGCATATTGGGTGTTTTGTTTTTTTTTATAGCAAATTTATAGGAGGGCATGAACAAGAGCCATACCAGGTGGGCAGAAATGGATGCTTTGTGCTCTGCACAATGGGGAATTTCCTTAGAAGGAATATACAGACACCAATGAGATCACAGATCCGCTGGAGTATAATTATTATTGTTATGATAATTACAAATTAAAGGTAGTATCCCATTGAGCTTATTAATAATAATACCCTGTTGAGCTCCTTGATAATGATCAATCCATCCAGCAGCTCGTGGCTGTTTTAAAAGGTACATTTTTTTTCAGACTCAAAATGTTAGATACCTCTGGAACCATTTTCCCCCCTTCAAAACAAATTAGTCTTCTGTCTCATTTTTGTTAGCTTTCTATTTCACTTTTTTTTAAGCTCTTGAGTCTGCTAGGATTGAAGGAAAGCACTTTCTTGAATAGATGGTAAGATGCAGGGAAGTGGGTTTAGATTGATGATTAGTTAATGGGCAGTGTAAAGGTAAGCTCTTAGATCAACTTTGAAACATCTCAGTTACTGGGCAGCTTAAGAGACCATGGTTAGCATTAAAACTCCTTCCAAATGGGGTCTTGCTCAGAGTACTTAATAGAAGTACAAGTTGTTTCCAGCTTGCTCTGCTAAGCTGGAAAAATCAAGGAGCAAATGGCCTCAGTGAATAATTAGATAAATTATATTTAAGTGTGCTATTTTGTTAGCTGTAACATATTTTTGTTGGCCAATGTGAAAGATTAGTTTTACTCGAATAACAACTTTCAATAATGAAAGAAAAACAAGTTAGCTTAGAAAGTTTTCTTTTCCATTCTGCATTTCCATACTCTATTTTTTCACAGCAAGATACTGCCATGGTCTATCATCAGTTCTCCAAGAAATCTTAGTAGTTGAACTAAGGAAAATGAGGGTTAGAATTGCAGAATAGGGAGGGAACTCTTAAGGCATCTAGTCCAACTCTTACTCAAAGCATATATCCTATCTAAAACATCCTTGACAAGTGGTTATCCAGCCTCCCCTTAAAGACCTCACACTAAGTGAGGGGAATGCAGTGGTCTCCAG